CTCATCATAATCATCTTCATCATCGTCATCATCATTTTCAACAGATGACCATGAAAGGCGGCGTTTAACATCTTAAACGAGGTATTTAACGAAACAATCCATGGAATTTGCTTCCACTCAGTCAAAACTTAGTAAGTATTAAGAGGAGCATTTTTCCCATATTATGGCAGATCGATTCAGATTCAGAACATATTTTTCAAAAAAAAAAAAACTACAGTCAGCACAAACAAAAATAAACGGTTCAAACGATTAAGGCCTAAGTAAATGCAAAGTCGTAAACATTTTTTTGAGCGAGAAGAAAGAGGAAAAGCAATGTCTTCTACACAAAAAAAGTCTGCAAAAGTCACGGCTAACCAGTTTTAGTTTTCCTCCTGGATATTTGCTCTAGACATCAGTTTACACTGTATTACTAAACTTCCTACTTGAGTACAACGACTTTTTCAGCTATAACAAAAACTTCGTAATCATCGAACTGCTACTAGATCTTATCAAATCTTCAAAAAAAAAAAAAGAAAAAAAAATCGTCACTAATTCAATACGAAAACAAACCGTCCAGTGCATAAGGGTATGGTGGCGCTGGAAAGTCCGCTCGCTCAATTGGTGGGACAATACCGGGTTCCGGAGCATGCCCAGCCGGATAATGGGCCATCTCAATTGGTTCTTCATTATCCATATGCGGTGATCGTGGACGTGGAGCACTTTTTTCGAGATCTTCCGCTTAAACATAAATTTCAAATTATAAGTGATTTCGACCCTTTTCAACGCAAGCAATAAAAAATATAAAAAGTAATATGAAGTTTTCTTATAACGTGCTTTAAAATTCCAGCCAAAAAAGAAAATAAAACTAAATAAAACTCACTTAACCGTTGCATTCCTGTTTTCAACATTGAAAGTCGTGATTTCCGGATTTTAATTGGACCTGGAAAATAACGATCAAGAAAATACCTTTTATTTCATGCAGCACAAAGTTACAGAAATTCTAACTAACCGCAAAAATAGCTCTACGATCTGATTCAAATCAAGCATAATTACCCTGAGGAGTATGAAACTGCGCAAGCTGTGGTGGATGGGGTGGGATCGGTTGCTTCAAATACGTTTGCTCAGCCTCTGGCAATAAATACATGTATGTCAAATGTTGGCCAAAATGCGAATGATATTTTGGTTCCTCACGAGCATCATTTAGTAGACCTGTTAACTGGAAATATGGGCATCAAACCAAGTACACAAACTCACAGTAATTTAGAATAGTTGTTCAAGGCGAAAATATTATGCAATCTTATTTGGTTTCCAAGATATGACAAGCAAAGATTAGTAGTTACGTCCAGTATATTGTAGTTATAATAAAAGTGCAGGAAGTAAGCATCAAACCGATTATTAAAGGTTATTTTCCCCTCTGGAAAAAAGAATATCTTAATTCGTGTTTTCGAACGCACGAAATGACCAATTCTAGAAACTTTCCAGTTCTTTTTTTTTTTTTTTTTTTTTTTATTGCAAGGAAAAAGGTCCCATATCCCATAATAGCATTACACATATGAAACCGAAGCAAGATGAAAAAGGATGCTATGCTCGTTCGCTATAAGTGTTAATTTAACTCATAAAATTCCACCTGCAAATAATCCAAGTCACTGACATAAGTACAAAACATATAAAAATAACATACTGCAATACTTTCTGTCACTTTAGTCTGCTCGCAACCTGGATGCCAAATTTCATCACCCTGCATGTACATTTCCTCTCCATCACCAAAGCGTTCACCGCAACGTGAACAACGAGCACAAGTCGGGTGAAACTTGTAACCTCCAGCCTAAAGCTGTTATTGATATTTGAAAATTTGTAAATCTGAATGTAATCTTCAATATATTTTCACACACAAACGAACCAGCTTTTTTAAACTACATTACGTTACACTTCGCGATCATAAAATGGTCTAAGTATCAAACACCAATGAAATCTGAAAACCATCTAATGCACAGAATATGCATATTTCAAAACAATTTAAAAGTCCGCTAAACTACACACTTGCAATACTTTCCCAGCAATGTACTTATCACATTCATAGCACCGGACACCATATTTCGTATTATAATCTCGAATACAAAGTGGTTTGCCATCATGTGTCATGTATTCGCCTTGTAAAATGGTAGTGCATTCAGAACATTTAAAACACCAAACATGCCACTGTTCTCCAAGTGCCAGCAACACCTGACCACTCTGCAGTGGCTGTCCGCAAGATGCACATCCTGAAAAGCTTTGAAATTTGATCTGGTATTCGCACCAACCACAATACCGATCTTGATATGCACAATAAAATTGATCACACTCGAGAGACCAAAAACGTGAGGCAACAAGCACATACAACAATAAATCAAAAGCAAAGGCATCAAAAGTAAAAGCAATTCTAAATTAAACCACGATACCTGCAGCAGAAACTTGACGAATATCTGCAGGAGAGATGAGAGGAGGTGATGGCTGCACTGGCGGGATAATCGGAGACGCTGGTGATAAGGAAGTTTCGTCAGCATGTTTTAGATTTTGTTGTTCAGCTTTCACTTTCAAAGGCACAGATAATGCTCGAAAATCTTCGGCACACAAAAACTGTCCTTCTGAACCCGTGTAATAGCCAGTTTCCCTCAATGATCTTGAACACTCTAAAAATATTTTTCTTACTTCGTTGGTAAAACAATAGTGAAGAAACTATGATGCTGAAAGAAAATCACATGAACTGATTTGATATTCAAATAAATCCAAATAAAACTGGAGAGAATAATGTAACACATGAACCACAAAGAGTGATGAAATTCTATTTTCATGATTTAGAACAGACAAAACAAGGAGTGCTATGAAAACTTCAAAGAACACACTAAAATATTCTAACCAGCAATCCAACTTCTCATAAATCCCTTCATTTCATACTTACTTAAATCTTCTGGATGATTTATCTCAAATAGAATAATTCAAAAAATGACCGTAAGTCATTTAGAAAATGGTAGACAACAAATAGGTGAAAGGCTGAGAGACGAAATGAAAAAAGAACTACTTAAAAAGGTTTAGTCGATTCTATTATTCCTTCGGATAATAAAGGGATGTCTTTCCGTCCATTTGCGTGCACTACAAATCTCCAAGAAAAACTTTAGCCTCAAAACAAACAAACAGACTGGAACATATTTCCTACAGGCTACTCATTTCAAGCAATTTCAAATGAATGTACATCTGTACATGCAACCTCACCACTTATTATGAAGAATGCAGCTATAAGCAACTAAGTTTCTTGTCGACGGTATTTTCATATTTGTGACCAAAAAATGAATAACTGAAGGATTATTGCACTTTTAAAGTCGACAACCCCAATTTTGTTAAACAAAATATTGAAAGCGAGCGTTTAATCAACAACTTCTACAAAAAAGAGGAAAAAAAAGAATCCGAGAATCTGAAGTTCAGGAAATCTACTTCGTCCCACACTCTCCAGTGTGAATTTATCTTCATAATTTAGATGTAGTAAATATCTTGTGTTACTAAAACAGATTGATTCTAATGACTTACTCGCACATTTAAAACAAGAAATGTGAATATATTTCTCGCCATCTGCCTTTAAAATTTCGCCAATACATTTCTTTCTACATACGTAACACTTCTTTCCTGAAAAAGTAGTCGACCTAACTTTCGTAATCCGTGCAAACGTATTATATGAAACAGTTAGGCATGCGGTTTAGTCTGGAATCCATTGAAGATATACACCCCCTTATTCTAATAATCCCACCATTTAAAATAAAAGATCACTATTGAAATTTGTTTAGCTACTTTAACAGAAACACATCACTGAGATGATAGCTGATGGCAATTTACAGACCACCGTAGCTGAAAGCAAACCGATCATTCTCGACATAACAGAGATAATCAGTGTCTCGAATTATGAAATAAATTAGAAGACAGGAAAAAAGGAAAGTATAAATGAACCAAGTGATAACCTCACCAATTCATGTCTTGCTCTTCGATGCAATTGCAATATAAGAGAAGCATAATATTAAATTTATTAATTTCTCTGCCAAGACTATACCATTTTCTCAGAAAATAAGGAGAAAATGGGAATCTATAGGTGGTAATTGTTAACATCTCTAGTTTGAACGTTTGACTATCAATTATTACTATTTGAAAAAAAAAACTGACTAACCCATTGCGACACACAGACAGACGAGTCACTCACCCACTACTCACTCCACTGGATGAATAGATAGATCACTTGGGTATCGAACTGTGTGAGGATGCGATGTGGAATGAGCACTGCAGTTGCAGTTGCAGTGGCAGTAGCATAGTTGCAGAGGCCAAGCAACATAACCTAGTGTGGAAGAGGGCGGTGCAGAGGTGCACGCTGAGAGTGCTCAAAAATCGATCAATGGATGTTGTTGGCTGGTGTAGACGAGCAGCAGGCGGTGGTTGTTAACCGAGACAAAACGATTTCTGGTAATAGGACAGCTGAGCAGTGCTAGAACTCGTTGAAGACAGTGCGGATTTTGGCATATCAGTGCTACGATAGCTTTAACAGCTGTCTACTCTCGGATGATTGTGGGAGTAATGGGACAGAAAATTGTGCCCGAGGAAGAGCAGTTCCGGGTTCTTCTGTTCTGCTGTCTATGCAGTGGACGGGACACATTTAAGAACATCTTTCGCGGGCCGTAAATTACTTTCTTTTGCACTTTCAGTTGTTCATGTTATCCGCTCACCCTTCCGTTTTAATGCAGTAGTTCGACGGAGCGAGGTCAAATTATTTGAAAAACAGTACTAAGTTTCTTTGGGAACTTTAGAACTAGGCTTTCCTAATGTCAGAATGAGAATAATTTTATCTTTTGGCGCTTAATTTATTCGAATTAACTTGAATTGCCGGCATATGTTTTAGCTTCTATTGTCATTTTTTTGAATTTGATTCTTTCTTTGTTTATGCTCCTTTTTCAGTCATACAGATTGTTTGGTTGGTTGCGGTGATTTTATTCCAGATGAAATAGATAATGACAAACGTTGGTTGTGGGAAGAAAAAGAAAAGTGCCCTCTTCGTATGCTTAGGTGAGCGCATATTTTTGCACAACTTCATGGTCATAAATACATTACAAATCATTAAATACATTACAGTAAGAGATGAACTCAAGGCCTATATTAAACCGACTCATTTTGAGAACTGCTCACTTGACATTCTTAAAAAAAGAGTCGGAAGATAGCAGTGATGGCTTACACTCGTTATCTGCTGGCAATAGTGCACAATTCATTCCGTTTCTCTTCATAAACGAATTTTGAAAAAATAAGTGTTGCTGACTTGTTACCACATCGAAACTGAACTCTTAGTACAGGCAATATTTGTCGATCACCAATGGCTGAAGGAATTTGTTTGGATCTCATCAAGAAGAAAGGTCTTGAAGATAAATGGATTGTGGATAGTGCTGCGGTTGCCAGTTTTCATATTGGTAAATCTCCGGATAAAAGAGCGATGGCAACATTAGCAAGACATGGGATTAAAGATTACGAACATAAAGTTCGCCAGGTTTGTTCTGGTTTATTTTATTTATTTCTCCTTTATTATTTTATTTTCAAGACATCTATAAGGGAGAAAAGGAAACTTGTGCGCTAAATTTACGGTTCTTATGTAAAAATTATATTTTTTGATATAAGATGGTGTGTAGCTTAGGGTCGAATTGAATTTTCATATGCTTCCTTGTTTGTTATTGTAGTTGGTATAGACGGATAAATTGAGTGAAAGATCTATTATACCAATTTTATTCGCTAGTAGCTAACAACACGGTACACAAGTATTAATCTTTAGCAACAATAAACTGATAATTTCGTAGAATGTGTACGAATGAGGTGAAGAAAATGAATAAATTGATGTGAATTTGAAATTTTAAATAAACTGAACTGAATGAGTGTGAGAGAGCAGCAGCGGAACCATAATTTGCTGGTACGAAAAACTGAATAAAATAAAGGATTTAAGCTCTTATATCGTGGGCAAACTGATTTGCAACAAGCGCATGATTATTTGAGTAAAGAGCTATCAGATCATTCTTACTCTTTATTTAGTAAGAGATGGGTTTTAATATTGTCAGTTACTCCAAGAATGACTATTAAATTAGAAAACTTTTACAATATGTTGGCATTGCAAGCAAATTTTATTTGGAACGAAGCAATAGTTTTTAACATTAAAAAGTGCACATACCCCTTACTAAGAGTTGAAAATTTCTAGACAATCAAATAATCTCAGCAACAATGGGAAGGTGAATATTGGAATGATGATTGCTCAAATGAGATGCAATTTGAAATAGTTTTAATTTTTTCTTTTGTGTAGTAAATCTAGTGGGAATTCCTTTGAAGTTTTATATTTCTCTAAAGAATGTTCAATTAAGACAAATTTTAAGAAGATTATGGATTAATACAATTTTATTTGACATATTTGTAAGTTATTTGGATATTCGCGGGATTTATTTCGAGTTTCATGACAGTGACTGACTCAGACTTTCAGGTGACTGACTCTGACTTTCGTGATTTTGACTATATATTTGGTATGGACGAAGAAAACATTGAGTAAGTTTAATACTTTTGCTGAGGAGCAATTGTATGCCGCAAAGCAGGTTGGAAGGGAAAGAGGTAGGAAAGAGATTCGAATCACAAGAAATAAAAATTATTTAGAGGAATACCCGTTCTTTGTGCTTTCTTTAAGAATCCCCATAACACCAACTTTATGTTGAAGTTTTTCACGTGCTATATTTATATGATCTTTTTCGAACTTATCTCTTTACGATAAACATGAATAGCAAGTAATATGAGTAACGCTTTAATTTTTTTTTTTCTTTAATTTGGACATTTCATTTGTGCATATTTATTATCCTTGTTACTTCCTCAGAGATCTGATGAATTTACGAAGAAATGTAAAAACCAAATCAGTTGTCGAATATCTAGGCAGGTATGATCCGGACGGTGTTTTAATCGTACCGGACCCGTTTTATAGTCATGGGATGCAAATGTTTGAGAAGGTAATTTACTAATTTTTCATTCATAGTTCTATTTGAGCGTTTATTATTGTATCATGGTATCCATGTGTTAATTGTAATTTAGGTTTTTAAGTAAAGACAAATTCTATAAAAAATGGCTAATTTGTTTCGGACTGCTTTTATTAATTACATTTTCAGGTTTACGAACAGTGTTTGAGGTGTTGCAAAGCATTTTTAGAAAAAACTCATGGTCCGTTGGCTTAACATTGTGAAAAAATGCCCATATCTTTTGTTTTCGTGCTTATTAATTTATCTGATTTTCATATGTTATTCGCATAATTGAATGAGTTGCAGCGTATTTGACCGTTGTTTTTTATTTATGTGCAGTTCATTTGTGGAAATTTTTCTTTTTTTGATAAAAGAATGTAGATCCAATATAAATACTATTTAACTATTTTTATGAGCGTCATTCTTAAATTAATTTGGACAACTATTTTGAAAAAGTAAGCCTTTCGGTTTCAAAGTTGACATTCTAAAAATTTTATCTGTCATATACATGTTCCTGTCACCATGTGATTTCTTATTGTTACTTTCTGTTACTTTCCATTCAATCCAAATAAATTCTGTGCTAGATTTGATGTCTAGTACATTTCTTGTTCAGTTAATTTTTATACCGATTTTATTTTTTATTTATGGAATGTGCCGTTACCGTGGAAGGTGATCTTTTTCATCGTTGGTTGTTTTTTGCGCTTGTTAAAAACTCTTCAATGATGATTAGTTATAACTGTAGGTTGACAACTCGTGAAATCTTCAATTTTGAAAGTAGTGATGTCCTGAAATGATCTAGTGCTAGCTTACGTGAGTCGTTTAATTGACACTACTTTCCACACAGTTATCTACAGAAAATGCCTGGTTTCGATTCAAGGATAATGTATCTGGTAATGAGGTCTGATCTTATCACCGATTTGAAATGGTCGATTGGTGCAGTTGTAGCGCAAGCTGCACATGCGGCAACTGCATGCGTATGGACATTTCGTGAAGATAATGAAGTAATGGAATACATGAAAGATATCTCTCACTTGAGAAAGGTTACACTAAAGGTAACATTTCATTTATGTCACAACAAAACGCTCTTGTCTCTAGTTGAGAGAGAGAGAGAGAAAGTCTTGTGTGACTTTTAGGTAGTTGGTTGTTCTGCTTCCTGGCGAGTTGCATACAGTGTTCTCGTCTACATATTTATGGCTTTGATCGTTGGTTTGTACTGTCAGTTGTACTTTCAGTTTATTTTATCCTTCATTATGCGTATACAGAATGATATACATTTCAAACACTAAATAATAAAATGAAATTATATAGGTACCGAACGAAAGTGAATTGCGAAATGTCGAGAAGAGGCTACAGGACAGTAACGTTGATTATTATTTATGGACGGAAGACAGTATGGCCGTGTGCATTGCCCTCAAACCGCAGTTCAGAAGTTCTGTTGAACAACATGTTAAACATTTGAAACTCTTTTAAGTAACATACTTTAATCTTCAGTTGACCATATCATACTGTCTTATTTTTTTTTCCGCTAAAGTTTCAACTTCTGTTCTTTGTTAAATATGAAAGTAAAGAGCGTCTACCGAAAATTCTCATTTTTAAAATTAAAATAAGTGGATCAAATAACTCCATTAAAGGGAAAAAATTTCTAAATAAAAATCGTTTCGTTTTTTAACTTATAGACTGTATTCATTCTTCGGGAACAACCCTCTCACAGAGTACTTTTGGTACTTTTCTTGAATAAGCTTAGTTTAGCGGAAATGTACTTCGATATGTACTGAGGACGTAACATCAAATAAATGTAATAAATAATTTGAGCTTCTATTTGATTTTTCTTAGAAGTTGTGTGAAGTGCTTTTAGTGCTCAAAATTTTATGAATTGAATCTTCATCGTTTTAATAAAATCGCATCGTACTCAACAGGTATTTAACGTTTCGGTTTAAGCTGCCGAATTCATTGGTTTTTATTTATCATTAAGAGAATGTGCAAACTTCTTTTAGTTCTTTTACAGAGATCGTTGGCCTTTGTCTCCTATGACTGCTTAAAAATTTTTGTAAATAAAAATAATTCCTAATGTCATACCTTCTGCCGCACTCATCAGCGTCACCTTCCTTTATTTACCCTTGATATTTTTCCGGAAAGAACTATTATGCATCGGTATTCAAGTAAGAATTTACGCTTTTTTCCAGTTTTTGCACACGATTTACTTGATAGAGTTTTTATAATTTATTTTGAAAAGTATTACAGGAATCTACTAGAAAACATATTTCAAATTAAAATTCACTAACAGTACTTCTCTATTTTCTACTTTCTCACCTAACATCAACAAAATAACTTCACTAACAGTACTTCTCTATTTTCTACTTTCTCACCTAACATCAACAAAATACAAGTTATGAATGAACAGAAGAAACAAGGAAAAATGAAGACTGATTTTTGAAAGTATGAGCTAACTGTATTTGTCAGTCCATGAAAAGATCCGATACGAACATAATTTAGCCAACCAAAATTTACTTAAGAATTCTCGTAGCTCACACCTGTTAGAAATACTGAAGTAGCACATGTTCGAAATATTACACATGATACAAATATCACAATTTAAATTGAGCATTTTAAATATTGTCGTTGTGTTAACGGACTTGTTATGGAAGAACAGAATAAATTATCAAACTCGCCGCATTCATGCAGTCTTACATTTCAAAACAGCAAAAGATATTAAGAATAAGTTTCTTCGCATCTGAACGTATCTTTTTAATTATTAATCATTTTTAAATATCAATTTCAGGTGCACCATTGTAAGAAGCTAATTCTTGAATGCTTATTTAAACTTCTGATTCTATAAAAATTTTGGAGGGATTGTTTTTCCCATTAAAGATGGGATGCATAAAAAAATTGAAATGACAAGTGTTAAAGCTTAAACATATCTGAATTTGCAAAGTTCAAAAAATTCCGAAGAAGCATATCCCAATTTTTCATGCCAATAAATTAACAAACAGATAGAAAAAGGCTAACAAAGGAGATGAGAGAAATTAGCACAGGTGGCAGTAATAATTAAAGGCAACGACAACCACGGTGGCAGCTCCAACTGCTAGTGGTACACCAACCAGAAGTATTGTAAGGAAAGATGTACGAGTAGATAATGGAGCATCTGGTTGCGGATGTAATGGATTTGAATCTACGCTGAAATCTTCGCAAATATTACATTCCAAAACTACATTGAAACTTCTAGATCAAAATATATTATTGGTTATAAAAAGAGACAGTGATTTTACGATTCTAAAGAAGTTATCAAGGTTATTTGTTATTTTCAAAAGTTCTCTTTTATATTCGAAGTTTAGTTGAATTTTTTTTCATCTTGATAGCTGGACTTTCATTACTTCCTTATCAGTTTCGTTAACATCGCTATTATTCTGTCATTTAATTTCTGGTATTTGCGCAAACGGATAATTAGAGACTTCAAAAATTTCGTTGCTTACCTATGTATCCGACTAAAAATGAGAGAACCACTGGGCACTTCATCTTCATGTTTAGCACTACTCCTGAGATATGAAAATGTATTACACAGAGGTTTATCGCAAGCGCACAAATGAAGCCACCTGAAGACAGTAAGTCGGTAATTTAGGGTGCAAATTTTCTTTAGTTTGAGAAATAAAAACTACAAATCTATAAGACTTTACTGTATCTCTTACAGTATGCAATTTCTTTTCTTGTAAAAATCATCTAATTTTCGCTATCTATGGGATGATAATTTAATTACATTGTCATTGTCAAAGCACACGATTGCATTGTCAGAGCTACACGAATTACCAAAAACTGAAAGTGAACGAAATATTAGAATACTATAAATCTGGCTATTGAAACTATGAACACTCCAGGAAGATGTGGATTACAGCACATGACCAAACAGTTGTTACAGTTATTTTCCTTGACAGGATGAGAGTCGTCGTATTACTACAGATCTACCGACAACAGGAATATAGTGTAGTAGATGTTAGCTCAATCCTGATATCATATTGGTATAAGGCACTAATACTTAGCAAATTTAAGTCCAGTGGAACAAATGGTCAGATAAAAATATAGTCCAAATGCTGATGTGTGTTATTAAACGCAAGAAAGTTTCTGGAATACGAATTCATATAAAAACAATGTACCCTATTGTGTACTTTGTTCTTTCATCTCATGTATAAATCCAACAAAATGTGTAGCACATTGAACATACAAATGCTAGATAGCTGAGGCCTTCCCATTCAGTAAAATTTTAAAAAAAGTATGAAATGAATATGCTACTCATTTCAGTAGCGGAACGTATAATTCACAATACAACATGTGCTAGCACTCTGTCAACATCAATAGCATGGGAATGTTGAAATCTACATTTCAAGTCCATTACTTATTTTCGATGATAAACAACATTACCTCTTTTACTGATCCTGAATGCTTCATAAATATTTTTGCACTTTCACTTTGTCTTTCGCACCTTTCGTTTAAGTGAAGAAAGAAAACAAACAAACCTCCCGACATTTCTTCGGCAGCCAATCATCTCGGTACCACATGTTCGAATAACCGAATTGGAACTTTTGACTATTCCAACCAAGCATATGGTACTTTCACATACACCATACGGCACACAGTGATCGTCCGTACAGTAGCATTTCACTGCACAGACAATCGTTGTTGAAATTGGAAGCAAGTAAGCAAAAATCGAAGGAAGGTGCATAACGCACCCGCGAATCACTGGACCGCTTCAGCGACAAAATGCTGTGTGCTTATGTCTCAACCTTATACCTTCTTCAGTAAAAGATATCGAGTACAGTACACTTTCGTAGTGATCTTCCAGTAATAATCACTTACTGGCCACTTTCATAGTCTATCATCCATGCTATTTAATTCTTTTTGGCAGCATTAATACACTAGTTCCTTTGGAATAACAACATGTATGGAACGAGGTACCTAAAATAACACATTTCTGAGTTTCAAACTGTTATGAGATAAAATATTATCGACGAAACTTTTTCTAAAGCATCTAATTGGTACCAAATCATCTTCGTCTTTAATACACTAGAAGATCATATAATCATCATTATTACATAGTCTTAAGAAAATTTCCGAATACCTGAACTTTTATTTGCGCTTTTATTAAGCTTTTTTACATTTAAGCTTTTATGGCAGTCCGATGTATCCAAAAATTAAAAATAGTAGCAACTGAAGAATCAAATTATCTATTTGCAAAATACTTTGACACCAAATTAACCTCAATGATTGCGTCTTGTTTCCTATGAATTATAAGATGAGAGCGCTGCTTAACTAAGACCTCAATTTAAGAATTTAGCTTCAATGATCCATTATTTAGAAAAATCTGATAACCAGAACTTTCGCAGTACAGGGTCAATCACAAAAGTAAGATTTATTGTGATAAATGTCGAAAGCATGAAGTGATAGCGGAGAACACTACAATATTCTAAGTAACTGGAATCAATAAATGTGTGTCACTTCCCTATACTGCTAAATAGTTCAGTGGTGACTGCAATAAGCATCATGGATGACGGAAGCCTTTACAATATAACGAAAATAAAAGATTTAAGAAAAAAACCGGATTATTATAAAATAAATTTAAGATGCAATATAACAAGAATATTAAGTAAATTTTGAGATTTAATAAGGAAAATACTAAAGCATGGAGAGAAATGAGAAAAAGATTGTAAAATCAAGAATTAATTAGCCGATCAAGGAGAAAAAAACAAGAAACAGAAAATTGGAAAGTGAATAAGGCTTCACTGTGAAACAATCAAAAGTCGTTCACCCCATTAAAGCGACAGCTTTGTTACTAAGCTAATTTACTTGAAGCGATTTTTTCTATTTTGGAGGAATTATCTATGATAACATTGTAAATCTTTCGCTAACTTCAGTCATATTTGTTTAATATCCTTAGTTTTGTTGTTGATTCAACGCAAATTGTTATGAGTAAAAATATAAAATAAACAGAAAAATGAAAAAAAAAGTATTTTCGATATTTCGATTAAAAAATGATAATGCATTTCTATTTGATATTAATCAGGATTGCTTGGATTTAAAACTAGGAATTAATTGTTTTTTGACCGAGCTGTTATTATCTGCATAAATAGATATTACTAATTCCTGCATATGTAGACTTATTCACACATACCTGCTGAAAGAGCTATAAAATTATTTTCGCATTAATTTTGTTTTTTTTTTTCCTTATTCTTTTTTTTATTGCGATATTAGCTAAATTAAAACGGATCAATTTGAATTAAGGGAATTATAAGAAACAGTGAAAACGTGAACGTCTTTGAAAACATTTTCAAACATAACCAAAACTATGCCCTTGCAAATTCAATGATATTTTGGAAAATAAATTTACACATTCACTTTTCAAACAACTGCGAAAGTGCCTTTTTTCTCGTCTTCTTACCTTTTAGAAATAGTATAATGAGATGAATGATAAAAGCAGTCTAGTA